CTCTCTCTCTCTCTCTCTCTCTCTCTCTCTCTCTCTCTCTCTCTCTTTCTCTCTCTATCAATACAATCAATTTCGACTTATTGCACGTTCATACATCATTACGCTCGCACAGATCGTGCAAAAGGGGAAACAGAAATCAAAGCCGCGTGCGGAAATTACTCGTGTCGGCCGGTAAACCTAACTGGCAGGAAAGCGATGAGAGGGTGGAGGTTTCGTCTCAATGATAAACCCATCGTCCAACAATGAATCGGCCGCTCTATAGATAGAGCATCACAGCGCATCACGCTGCGAATCTGCAAACCGTGAAATTATCCTGCCCAACGTTACACGATTCATGAGTTATGCAGATGATAACTGCCAGGTCGGGCTGATGCCGGATGATGCGCGGATTAGAAGGCCGTTTAGCACTTTCAATCTCGGACATGAGTCGCGCGCGACGAGCCGCTCTCTTATATTGTAACGACATATGAAAAGCACCGGAGGAAATAACGGATGGGATTTCCTTTGCAAATTGCGAAGTGCTTGCGAGAAAGATTAAGATACGTCCAAATGCGATTTTTTTGACAAGATTTGATATGTACAATAACTTATTAAACATATTAATTATAATTAACTTTATAATTAACTCAAATTGCGAGAATGCTCTACTTGTAAATAAATTATTGAAAAAGTGTATGTGTGTGTTAAAGAAATTATAGAAATATAGCAAAGACAGTAATAATTATGGAGACATGCAATATTTTGAAAATTAATGAATATTTGTTTTATATTGTAGAACTTTATTTTGAAGTTTATTCAGATATATGTTATAAATTAAATAGCCTGAGGAAAAAGAGATTACACAAGATTGCCGTTTAATAAAAATTGGCTTCGAGTCCACCGAAACCGCGTGAACACTGGAACATTTTGTATATCGAAGAAAAGTTATATCTTCATTATCGGAAAGGTTGTCTCTTTTGCATTTAAAAAAGCAGCAACATCATATTTTCTCGTTAAGCGGCGGGCTTCACTCGCTGCGAAAAAAAAAACGGTCCAGATCGAAAATCATGCGCACATCAACTTTGTAATGCGTGACGCAACACCGTGACCAGGTCGGGTTAACGTCCCTCAAGCCAAATCAAGGCTCCCGATACTGATCGGTCGATTTACAGCCATTACACCGACGGCGGACGACGGATAGGCGGCAATCGAGAGACCGTTGACTGAAGAAGCAAACGACCGGCTGCGAGACTGACCGGCTGATTGAAATTCGTCCGTGCGAGCGGTGCGAGGAACGATGCCACGACACGCTCGCGCCAGCAATTTCGTTTAACGAAACGCTTAACCCAATTCTCTTATTTTAGATACGAGATATCTTTTCGTGACGGTTCAAGAATTGTCCCTTTTATCGCCTATCTCGGCCGCCTTCGTGAATCCGCGATTACGCAACGCGAAGTATATTGTGACCGACCGCGATGGCCGCGTGTCCCTCCCTCTGTTCTCCCCCCTACCCCCGTCCCTCACCGACGACCTTCTTCTTCGTCTTCTCTTCTTCTCTTCTTGTTCTTGTTCTTTTTCTTCTTCTTCTTCTTCGCCTTCTTTTTCTGCGCCGCGCGCGTCTCGGCCCGCCCGCGTCCCTTTTTCATCTTTCGCCGTCACATTCGAGTCCGGCGTGCTTAACGACCGCGGCCGACGCTGACGTTAACTCTACGTGGGACGGGGTATACGCTAATTCGTTACTCGAGATTTTTTCTGATCCCGAGGCGGCACCACGCGTATTCATGAGCATAAATGCGCGACAGCGTCGGATGACGGGATTCCGATGCGTCCGCCGATTTTAATCTGCCTCGTTGAGGCAGAGCGGGGAATTTATCGGGGACGCATAGAGGGAACGCGAAGAAATTTGCAATTCAATTAAAATTAATTATTAACACAAAGCCGAAGATACCGAGACCGGACTTGTTGGCTTAAATAAATAGTAAAATGTCGATCGTGATTCTTACGCATTACTTCGTAATAAAAAAATTTATAAACTTCCTGTCAATCTTCAATGAATCTGTAAACAATAAAAATCTTCCCCGGGAATCGCATATTAATATCATCGTTTCAGCTTTTTAAGAAAAAAGAATGAAAAAAACATTAAATATAGTTGGTAATTTTTAATATTTAATATTAAATTATTGCTCCGAACAATTAATTTAATAACAGTCAATAACAAGATCGCGAGTTGTCTAGATATTTTTTGTTTTCATCATTTAACTCATCAAAGTGCAAGTGTTCTCAGAAGAATGCATGCTGCTCTTCGAATTCCAAATCTCAAATGTCGTGCTCCGATGTCACAAACAATCGCTAATTCCTGCACGGCAGGAGCTACGCCTACGCGACAAAACCGCGCCGATCAGCGAGATTCGTGTTTTACGCAAATCGCCCCTTCCTCCCCCCCCCTCCCCCCTCTCCCCGGCGTGCAGTGTTTGACCACGCGAGGAAATTTTCGAGCGAAAGCGAAATCGCGCGCGGAACGGGGAAAAGAAAAACAAGTGCGGACGGATGCAGGGGCACGGTGCTACTTTATCCCGGTGTGGCCCCCGCGGGCCTCCGACGTGTCTGCGGGACTCGGGGAAAATCAAGTCTCCCCCCTCCCCCGCCCGAGCGCGCTCAATTGCCGACTATTTCCAGTAGTGACTAAGCTGGCTCGCGTGCGCGGTGCGTGTACACGTGCGCGTACGTGGTGTAGTGGTAATAAAATTACAGCGAGCGCAGTTATACGGCGCCGTAGGCGGACTGGTCAGCGAGAGACGACTGCCCTATTTCGGATTTCTAACACCTCCCCGTTCGCGTCGCCCGAGGTGGTGTAAAAAAAAAAAAACCATCGCTGTGTGGGCCCCCGTTAACGAGACGGCGCGGAGACCGGACCGGAGTGCGATAGTGAATCGCGCGCGGCGATCTTATTGATCATCTCTCTTTGAAGCGATCCGCATCGAATTATCTAGGTTTACGAGAGATCCATCTCGAAAGATTAGGACGCGTGTTAGATATCGCTTTCTAGAAATCCTGTGAATGTTTGAATAGCTTCTTGTATGTTTAATAGGAAGCCGTTGAAATAAGCAATAATCCGTTTACTTTTTCCCATAATTCACGATTTTTATAGATCGTGCGTACTAGTACTAATAAACTTCATTGGTTCATCACTCTGTAGTTTATTATTAAATTAGTATAAACATCACGTAGACAGCATGCAGAGGCACCCTGCTGGCATCACTTTACGAACAGAACCCTAACGCTTCCTACTGCGGCCGAGCATACCAAGAAATTAGGCCGAAGAAAGGTTGCGAAAGGGCGGCGCGAATAGATATGACAGAGGAAGAATCTGGTAGTCGGACATTACCACTACCACAACAGCGAAGGCTACTAACAATAAGTGACATATGTTAATCGCATGATTCGACAGAATGAGTGGATTCATTCTATCACAATAATTTTGAATATTTTTTTTCAATGATTTAAAAAAAATAAAAGATTTACTGAGTATTAAAAAATTATCAATTTTTAATGTTTTTATAAAAATGTTTTTTCATCCTAAAATGATGAAAATTTTTGTTCCAAATGAATAAATATTGCAGATGCATTGCTAAAAGTTTGCGTCTCATTTAACAAATATGAAAGCCATCCGAGTTGATTTTAAGTTCTATTTTCAGTTCTAATAATAATTTTTAAACGGATGTAAATAATTCACAAGGTATATCGACGATAAAAAAAAATTGATGCAAATTTATTTTAAAAGATCTATTATATCTCTTGCATAATTAAAAAAGTCGAATAATAGATTGCATAATCGAAAACAAATCTGATCTGATATTGTCTTCACAAGTCTCGTCATCTTTACAAGCCGCGACGCGGGGACCGATTAGCGCGGCTCGAGCCGCGAAATCCTGGTCACTTTTATTGCACTCTTTACTGCAATCACCGCTATATTTGTCACACGTCTTGCGGTGATTTTCCATAAAACGACTCTTATCGCCGAGTAGTAGTATGTAACGCTCTTAAAATACAGACCTCACCACTTACGTGAACCTCCCCTCCCCTCCCCTCCCCTCTTTTATGACATTTCACATACGAGCGAAATGCAATGCGTGAAGTATCGTTTTCGTTACCCGAATCCATACGAGTGTAACAGATCCCGAAATTATAAAACGACACGCTCCGGCGAAATAGCTGTATCCTCAATCGTAATCGCGAAAACTGGAAAGGATTAAAGTTCGTTCGGCATTGCTTATCCTTCGTTACATCACATATCGTACGATCAACTCTAACCGACGTAGGTATCGCCGGACGTGAGAAATATTTTTTTTATAAATATCTCTCTATCGGGGAAAAATGAGAATGCGCGCGCGTGGGTGCACACGTGCGGCGCGATAAAATATCTCTTCATATAGGTTCGGCGTTCTCAAATCGCAGTCGCGCTTCCGACGACTGCAGCGAGCTACGAGATCCCCGTCGACTGAAACGCGATCCCGTTCGATCCCTCGCGGAATTAGCTTTTCTCAGCGAAGAACGAAAACGCAACGCGAGCGCGCCGTAACTCGGATGGCACGTGCTACGCGACGGATGGCACCAAGTGCTACGCGACGGAAGCGCGTGCACCGAGCAGACACACGCGTGCATCCGCATCCGATGAATGGACCGACGAAATAACCCGCGAGCAGGTCGAACCGGTCGCGCGAGCACGATGTACCGCAAGATCGCAGATCGCGCATCTCATCGGCGTGAAAACAGCGCGCCCAAACTTTACGTTCGCGGCTCTTCGATTTGATCTTCCCGATGGCGTGACGATTCTTTCCCGCGCTCAGTCGAGAAACGTCGATCGAACACGGAAGCAATGTCGACAATCGTCTACTTTCGTCGTTGATAAATTTCGATAATATTATATTTAATAAATCGCACCAGATTGCAAAGAACCAGGCGAGCGCAACACTTTAGAAATATTAAAATAGCAAATGAATTTTTTAAACTTAAGATAAAAACATTACGTTATAATTATATTTCACTATATTATATTATATAGTATTTTTCCTTCTTGAAGAAAATAGACGAGAAAAGATTTTCAACATTTGATAATTGCACAAACACTCGCGAGTTAATGAAAGAGAATCATGAGGTTTTACATACCCCACTAACAATCCCGGCCAGGCAAACTGCGGATGCGACGAATCTGAAAGCAGAATTGCCCCGGGATATTATTCCGATAAATTCTGTAGTTATACAACCCAAAGGAAATAAGCGTAGTAAAAAGAAGGAGTGGAAAAGCTACAGAAATAGAGAGAAGAGAGGGCGTATCTCTTTACTTGAAAAAAAAAAAAAAATCTTGCGTCAAAGTCACACTCGATTTTTTCAGAAATAAATTCCAGCAATTTTAAAAGTTTGCGATATTATTTCGAAAAAAAAAAATAAATATTCTGCACACGCTTGAATAGAGCTGACAAGATTAAACTCGCGCGCGGAAAAGTCAAAGTGCGAAGCGACCGATTTCGCAAGGGACCGCTCTATCTCGTGAAGATCCAAACGTCATTGAGACAGGAAGCGGAGTAAATATTCGTCACCGAGGTAAAGGAACTTGACATATACGAAAAGAAATAAAAAAGAACTCTCGCGAGCTAGATGAAGAAACGCGGAAGACACGGCGCACGATTTGCGGCTGCGTCGAAGCTAATAAAGGGGAGAACGATCTCCTGCGCGCACGCGAGTTCACCTCTCGCCGTTGTCCTTGGGGGGGTCCTCTCACCTTACCGCGGAGGCCTGCGCGCAACGGGGGTGAAACTATCCCCCTCCGTGGGACACAGAGCGAGATCGGCGCGGTCGGGCCCGTCCGGCGGCGAGCCAAAAGCAAAAACGAATCGCGAAGGAAACACACCCGGTAAATGAAGAAGAAAGAGAACGAGGAAGAGGAAGAAGAGGTAATGAGAAGATGAGGAAGGAAGCACGGCGACCGTGGAAATCGGGCCGAGGACAGGAATTGGAGTAAACGCAGCCGGAGGAACCCCGAGGAGAAAATGAGATCAATAGGAAACTCACCGCAATCCCAACCGGGTCATGTCGACCTCCCTATTCCTCCGATGGGTCTAGGGAGCCGAGAAGCACAGGCTAAAGCACCGAGCACCGCACAGAGAGGCAGTCACAAAATATCGCGCAGACCGGGCACCGAGTAGACCGATGGTGTATGCGGACCGTCCCATCCAGGGAGGTCTCTGAATGGACTCCGGGTGGAGGGAAGGAAGGAAGGTGGAGGCGGCGGTCGCGCCGAGCCACGCCAGCTAGAATTCCTCCGCCGAAAGGACCGGGCCGAGAAGAGAGTGCCTTCTCTCGGCCTTCCGCGACGGGCGACGTCGCGCGCGCTCAGGCCTCGCTTCGGCCCGCTCGTTTTCCCCGACGTCGACGGGGGATCGTCCCCTTCCCCCTTCTCTTCCTGTCTTCTTCTCTCGCTCCTGCGAGAAGAGGGCGATCGCGGTCTCCTGCCTGGCTGCCTCCGGTTGAACTCTGGGTCCGCGAGACGGGAAGAAGAAGAAGAAGAAGAGGAAGAAGAAGGCAAGGAGTGAGCGAGGGAGTGCGCAAGAGGAAGGGGAGGAAGGAACGAACGAACGCGGAGTGCCGTCTCTCCAGGGTTGGTAGGGGAAGAAGAAACAGCCGAAGAGAAAAGAAGAAGAAGGAGGAGGAGGAAGAGAGAGGACCAAGAGAGGAGTAGGAGGAGGAGGCGGTGGAGTGCCGCTGGCCGGCTCCGAGCCGAGCGTTCGCTCGCGCGGTCGCGCGTCGCACGAGGACTGTTGCGCGGCCGCGAGGGACCCTACCGGTATCGGTCGTGCCGGTTCCGAGCTGCCAGCCCGAGCCAGCCCGAGCTTACGGAACTTAGCCGTGCCGCGGGGGGACAGAGCGGGGACCCCGTGTGTCAGGGAGGCCGCGCCACCGCCGAGCGTGCCGCGCGAGAGCGCCGACGAGCGCGCAAGGATACAGCGCGCGCGAGAGCGAGAGGAAGAGAGAGAGAGAGAAAGAAGGGAGAGAGAGATCTGGCCCGGAGAAGACAGTGACGGAAGGAGAAAAAGCGAGATAGCGCAAGAGGGTGGGAGGGACAGAGACGAGGAGGAAAGAGGAAGAGAAGAGAGAGAGCGAGCACCTCCTCCGCCGCCTTCGGGGTCTGCCTTGTGTCCGCCCGTCTGTGTGCAGCGATCAGGAGGACGGGCTAACCGGGCCGTCTGTCTGGCCCTTCGACACGCGGTGCGTCGACAGGCTGGCCGACGGCGAGCTTAGCGGCGCGGTTTTAGCGCGATACTGCCACGAGCCGCAACGTTGTCGCCGCCGCTGAGGCTGAACGACGACGACGACGACGACGACAACTCTGGGACACCGTTCTCTCGGAGGCACCGCGAGAGGCGAACGAGACGAAGGACCAGAGGTGAGGCCACTCCAGGGACCGTCCGCAGGACCGCGGGTTTGATCGAAAAGGTAGACAAGAGGAGGAGGCGGAGGTGGAGGAGGAGGACCCCAGGCCGGCACGATGCGGCCCAGGGCCGCGGCGACGTCAGGAATCATAGGTGACGCGAGCCGCGGCATCTCGCGGCCGGTCCCGCTCGTCCTGCGAATCACCTGCGTCCTTGCCCTACTGGTGCACGCCGCCACGTGGATACCGATCGCCGAGGCTGTGGTGAGTGCGAAACGTCCTTGGAATGTATCGCGCACCGTCGCCCGCGAATTCGTGTCCGCTGAACAGTAAACCCTTCCGGGCGAAAAATGCCCTTGTCTTCGCGGGGGATGATAGGAGTTACGATCGAGCGATGGTCCGGCGCGGGAAATGCATCGTGAATGCCGTCAATCGTCGCGAATGCTAAAGGAAATAGCGGATTGTTAAGAACGAACGAGTCAGGTGGACGGCGCGCCGGTTAGCTCGATGGTGGGATCGACGGAAACGTCAAAGTTCGAAGTCCGTGCGAATTGGAGAACCGGAAGAGTTGAGCGCGCGCTAAAGTTCACGTCGTGACGAATTTCCACGCGGCACATTTTTACGCGTCGCTCGGGTTACCGCTGTTTTCAGAGCCGTCAATAATGCGATCGTAGCCGTAATCGAAACGACCCCGAGGATGTGGATTGCGGTTACGTAATCCATTCGCGATACCATCTCTTATGGGAATCAGCTGTCTATCGTAATAAGCGTGATCATATATCTCTCGTTGAGCTGCAACGGAAATGTCGAATGATATTTTTATCAAAAGAGCCTTTGTTTAAAATTAACGATTTAATTTAATAGCTATATTTCCCTAGAAGACAATTATTTTTCTTCGCTGTCAGGCATTAATCTTCGAAACAGAATCGCCACATGACCCCTACTTGCTTTCTGCATTTTGGTCGGCCATATTGGAACGGCCATTTTGGATTTCGGGGTTCTGACATCGAAGTCAACAACCTCAGAATTTATTAAACAACAAGCTAGCTAAAAAATATTTCCCTTCTTATTTAGTTTGTTTCTTGGCATTTCGTTATTTTTCTCGGTATCTTATATGCTATTTTAAATTTTTATGGTATCATTAGATAATGGTTAGAGTTCTTATCTTTATCAATTTGTATGCCCCATCATTCCTACTTCCTACCTATCTGGTGAAATGATTCATAAGCATGAAAATCGGTTGCCGCTACCAAAGGCACGCACTCCAAGCATGATAAATTTCTGTAGAAGTCACTCCTATGTTGAGCAAACTTTAACGCTATTTTATTGACCGTCTATTTGTGGTTACATCGTAAAACATAGTAATGTAAAAATTACAACCACATCTCATTTACTTTCGATTCAAATTAATCCTCTTTTTCCGCGTAGATGAACATCTATAAGACTTACAAGGGAACCTCGCGAAGTGTCAAATTCTGATTTTAATGAAACTTGGTACACTTTGAGGTCACATAAATAGATGAATTTAGAAATTATCAGTTGGTGCTAAAAAACGGTTTAAAGGGATGAATCCACCCCTTATATGTAAATTAATTCTTTTTTTCTTTCGTTATATCTCGAAAACTATTCAAGATATCAAAAAATGTTGTATACAAAAGTTTTATAGTAAAATTGTCTTTATTCATTTACGTTAATGGAATTTTTTTAAATGATTATTTTCAAAAGATTTTTAAATATAATTATTTAAAAAATATTATTAATGTAAATGAATAAAGACACTTTTATTGTAAAACTTTTGTATACAACATTTTTTGATATCTTGAATAGTTTTCGAGATATAACGAAAGAAAGAAAGAATTAATTTACATATAAGGGGGTGGATTCATCCCTTTAAACCGTTTTTAGCACCAACTGATAATTTCTAAATTTATCTATTTATGTGACCTCAAAGTGTACCAAGTTTCATTAAAATCAGAATTTGACACTTCGTGAGGTTCCCTTGTTAGTGAAAATTTAATTTTGCGAAAAAAAATATTTTTTTTTCAGTTTTTTAGAACAGCATTAAAAATTGTTTTAAAAAATTTCTTTATTTTTTTATTAAAGTAAAAATTTATTTGTTAATATTTTTGGGACTTATTTGTTTAAAGAATACATTAAATAAGTTTTATATTTGTTAAACGTAATTTTAGATGGAGAGAAAATGTAAATTAATTTGATAATTGAAAAAAAATTTAATTAATTGAGATCTTGTCTTATATTTCAATATTTGCAAAGTGAAATCTTATTTTTGATCTTCAAGTTTTTCATTGACCGCCAAATTAATTCTTCCTCTCTCGTTGCTATTTCATTTATGAAATAGGACACTATTGTCCTATGCAGTCATCAACTCTCGGCCGTTCCAATGCTAACGAATGTGGGTGTGTTTTGCTAACGTAGCGGATGACGACGACATACCGGGGAAATAGTCTGATATCGCTCCACATCTGGGGCAACTTCTATCGCTCTTAGGTAGGCTCTACGGAGCCTAATTCCAGTCTCTCGTGCCAGCCGGACAATGCGTGGGAACACCAGACGAGGGCTTTAAACGCCAATCGCTGACCTGCCGTTGTACCGTTGGCATAAATATCCTCCTCGAGAGATGAAATTAATCTCGTTTATCCCGTGCGGGGCGCATTTTACCCGTTTATTCAGCGCCGAAACGATATTATCTCGGTCCCCCATCATCAATCGTCCACCTGACTAATTATACCCTCAACCGCAATTGCAATTTGTCAATCCGAAATTCGTAATCTCGGATAGTATTAGTGATCTTCAATTAATTAGACCAAAGAATTATAAATGTTTTACTCGCATTATTTTTAACAGATGAAAAAGTGATTGGATTTAAGATTATTTAATTACAGATCTTTAGTGAAAAACATACTGATCTATTATTATATATTCTTGTCGCGTTGCAATTACTTGATTCTTAATTTACGTTAATAATATAATAATAAATAATTTTTATAAATAAATCAAATTCAGGCAGTCATATTTACTTTTAATTAATTTATTCACGATATTCTGTCACAGTATTGACGTAGTAGATGAAAAAAAGAAAAATTAGATTAATGGAACGAGAAAAAAGAATTTAGATTGTAATCGTAACAAAACACCGATGACAGGATTGTCACTTTCTATCTCTGAATGCATCGCTCCGGACTTGGCATATATTGTTCGTGTTTATTGGAGCGAAAAATATTCAAGATTCGAATTTCTTTTTATGCCGTATTAGATTACGTTAAATCACCTACGATGATTTGAGACATTGGTCATAACTGGTCGCATATAACATCCTAAAGAGATTCAAACACGATAAAAAATTAGAATTTTTTTTATATTAATCTTACACTATATCATAAGTTTTGCAATTTTATAAAATATTAAGCGTATAGAGCGCGCTCTTTTCCTTTTTAATAATATATATATTTAATAGTATATAAAATAATTTTCTCCGATAGAAATATTTTTCAACATTAAATTTTTGAATTGAATAAAACAATTGAGTAAAATACTAGTAATTTTGTTTAAAAATAAGATACATGACAGAAACATTTATGAAGAAATTACTGGAAAATCAGTCCAAGGTTCATTTCTCAGAACAAATCAGTCCCATAGAACTCCGCGGGAGATGGATGACGAGTGCAACATGATTCCGCTATGAGCACAACGCGCAATTAGCTAACACAAAATTTCGTGGTGTATAAACCGGTTCGCGTATAGCGATCGGAGAGGGAAGACCGAGCGATGTGTAACGGATGATTAAATCGGGCGTGAAGCCGATAGTAACGTAAGAGACCCGGCGCGGCGTGGAAAGCGCCCATCAGCATGACTCTGGGCGCCGTGTAATCCGAGACCCTGAAACTGCAGCTATTCGACATAATCTCATTGCAAAATAGACGTTACGGCATTTCGGTTAATCGATGACGATGCGTGTATCTACATGCTGACCATATAGAGTACGGCTCCTCGATTCCGGGCATCACTTTCCGTGATACCGCGAAACCGTCAATATCTTTCTGGGCTGAATCCCGAGGCGCGTCTTTCGAGCGTGTTCACCGTGAAAATTATTAGATTTACGATCAATTTATTTCATATACTCGAGTAAAGGAGTATATTTCTTGGTCGATTATAGGAGAATCATAGGAGAAATCATGGGAGAAATATTATGAGGAAAGAGAACTAAGATATTATTTATTATGTCAATAATAAATAGACAGACGTTGTCAATTGCGAAAATATATTTATTCATGTAATAATTTAAAGACAATATTACCAACGGAGCTTATATTTATTATCCATGTGCAAACAATATACTTTCTGCTTATGTTAGAAAGTTTTTTTAAGTAATGATTAACGTAACAATATATTTAATTGATAATTTGCATAATTTACGCAAAAACGAATTATGTTTACCGATATCGAATGTTGAAGTCACCCGGTAGACAGAAACGTGGGCGATTTCGACGCCCGGACAGAGGACGCATTCGTTGTGGAAAACGTGAAAGAAAATGTTCGGCACAATAGGGGGAGAGGACGAATCAGCATTGCCCGATAGTGAGTGGATCCGCGTTTCTATATGTCTTGTTTCCTCGGACAGGTCACTCGCCATTGTATCAGAGTCATTCAGAATCGTGAGAATCCCTTCTCTGTGGTGAACCAAATCTCCCTCTCACCCGACATTCCAGCTATATATTATATTGAAATTTTGCTCACTAAGGAACGTATAACAAACAATATATCGCAAGAAAAATTGTTAAATTTACAATTAAAATAAATTTAAATCTCCTAAATTTTTCAGTCACTTGAATGAAATAATTTCAAGCACCTAAAAAAATTGTTCTTACTGATTTTGTATGTATGTATATAATTTTAATCAATAATTATAACATAATTGAAAAACATATAGAAACAGAAAATATAAAGTACAGAATTGTTACTCATTCTCGTAATGAACATTATATCTTCTTTATATTAGCTTCTCTTTCTTTTTCCCTCTTCTTGTTTATTTCATATAAATATTTTTTATAACTAATGGCGCTACAGACACGCAAACAATTTCATCTAAATCTGCGAAAGGCATTACCCAATCTTATCTTCTATTCCGAATTTCCAAAATTTGAACGAACTTTTGTACAGAAAGATCTTCGAAGTAGATATTATCTTGTTCTAACACGCCCGAACTGTAGCTATAATATCCATTTGTCTTCGAGCCAACGCAAGAA